TTGATTTTGGTGGCTTGCCCATGTTCATGGTTGTACAATCAGTTTTTGGCAGCTCAGGTCCAGAGCCACGTTTCCCGGTGTATATTCCTGCCTTTCGTCCCCACCCCGCCACATACACGTGGTTCAGCATTTCCCACGTGTGCTCCACCCATAGTACATGTGGGCCGTCTCAACAGGTCTTCTCTAGCCGTGGTCCAGGCACCACTCACTCTTCCTAAGGGACCTATGGCCTCATGGTTGTTGCGTCTTGTTCCCTTATTCCAAACTCTTTCTAAATATGAAGCCATCTACAAGGGTGCCAGCACAAAGAGGGAGGCATTACTATGACCGAAGTTGCCCTGGGACACCTAGAGGCAAGGAGAAATATGTAACCCCTTTGGAAATATAATTCAAAAGAAAAAACAAACAAACAAAACAACCATGATCATATTGGAAGGGTGGCCACAAGGATAAAAGTATGGTATAGTATAATGAGCACATCTCCTAGCACAGTGGCCAAAGATTTTCTGAACCATGTGTTAATATATTTAATTTCTTTTGGAAACAGACAAATTTAGTTACCGAATCCCATATCCAAACACAACTATTGTTACCACTGCTTTTTTAATAGTAGTAATTTTGACACATATTCAAATTTGTATGTCACCAGGATTTATTTTGCATTGCTACCACATTTTTGTGAAATGTTTTGTTGTTTAGATTGACGAAGACATTATGGAAGACATGCAATGGTTTTATAGAAACAAACCCCATTTAAAATATCAGGACACTGTGGGTGATTTGCTAAAGTTCATCCGGAATTTGGGGGAACACATTAATGAAAAAAAGAATAGATGGTAAGTATTGTTTTCATTCCTGTAAGTCATATTTGAAATGAGAAGATCTAAAAATCCAGTTCTGAATTTATACCTGCTATTTGATGGGAAGAGCATAGTTAATTTTGATGAAAGAAAAGTAACTCCTCCCCTGTGTTGGGAAAAGAGCCACTACATGGGTCTTACAATGAATGATGGACGTGACCAGTAGGCTCCCATCTTTCTTCTTTTTTTGTAAAAAAAATATTTTTATTGATTATCAGAGAAGAAGGGAGAGGGAGAGCTAGAAACATCAATGATGAGAGAGAATCATTGATTGACTGCCTCCTGCACGCTCCCTACTGGAGATTGAGCCTACAATCCAGGCATGTGCCCCTGACCGGTATTGAACTCTGCACCCTTCAGTCCACAGGCCAACATTCTATCCACTGAGTCAAACTGGTTAGGGCTAATCTTCCTTAACTTCTGCTGGGTCCCACTGAACACCAGGCTAGTGACTCCCTTGTGGAACCACAGTGAACTGGGCAGCTGGGTAAAGTGAATGTAACATTTAAAAAATCTAGGAAGTAGCCCCATGTTAGTTAAGTCAGCGTTTACTGCCAAAAATGTTAGCTGCAAACTCATTAAAAAACAACAACCACCAACAACTTTCTGCTTCTAGGGCTCTTTTGGATTTTGGAAATGTAGATAAAAAATTGTGGAATTGTATTATGTCCATTTCATGGATGATAAAACTGAGGTTCACAAACATCACATTGCCAAAGTTCACAGATAGTTGAAGAATCAGGCGATGACTCTTGCTCTGTCAGATTCCCAAGTCCTTATTCTCTCTTCTATAGAAACTAGAGGCTCGATGCACGAAATTCGTGCAAGGGGCTTGGGCCCCCACCGCCTCAGCGGCTGCCTCTGCCCCAGCCTCCACCCACCCCAGTAGCTGTCTCGGCCCTCACAGCCCCGGCTTCGTCTGGAAGGTCATCTAGAAAGATGTCTGGTCTAATTAGCATATTACGCTTTTATTATTATAGATCATGGGAGCACAGTGATCTCCAGGCCATGTGCTATAAAGGGGGAAGCATTGGGAGCATGCCTGCCAAAATATTTACATTTCATTTCAGGATGAAGTTGAAAATTCAAGACCCTTCCCGGTATTTTCAGGAGAAATTCCCCGATCTGATCATCTACATCTATAAGAGACTACAGAACACAGAATATGCAAAGTATTTCCCCCAAATTCACAATGCACACAGGCCCCAGTGTGATGAGGGCAATGGTGGCCAGCAGGCTAGCCAGCCCTGAGTGCTGACTGAGCCTTCTGAGGTCCTTATTAGCTGTGTGACCCAGGGCAAATCACAACTCTCTGGGCCTCTTAACCAACCTGGTTGCTTGTGAGGGATGAGTTGGATGGATAATGTCAGTTCCTGGCAATGTGTCAGGCAGTCCCTACATGTTTATATATATAAAAAAGTATATGCTCAAATTACCCTGGTGCTTTTTTGGGGGTAAAGATTAGAAGCAAGAGCCAGAGGGCATCCTGCTGAAATTCCTCTTGTCTATTGCACGGAAGGAGTGAGTACCTAGACTTCTAGTACTGTATGCTTTACATCAACTATCTCGTGTAATTATCCCAAAGATCTTGCAGCATGGGTTAATATCCCCATTTGAGAACTGATGAAGTTGAGACTCAAAGAGTTTGAACTACTTGTCCCAGATCATACAACTTGTACAGAGCATTGAATAAATGGATGTGGTGGTGTTGCCTCTCACTTAAGCATCTTAGAACTTAATTACTAGCCCAGGGATCATTCGGATGAGACCTAAAAGAAATATATCAAAGGGGCTCCAGGTGGCTTGCCCATTCATTCACTCACTCACTCATTCATTCAGCACAGTATAAGTCAAGGCACTGATATTTTTTAAACTTTCATTCCTTCTAGAACCACCTGCACTGGTTCTATGACCTTAAGGTTTTTATGACCCGAAGGCAGTAGCACTAACCCAGGGCCATTTTGCCTCTCTGGGGCCATTTGGTAGTGTCTGGAAAAGTTTTTGTTGTCAAAGCTGGGGGACAGGGAGTGTTACTGGCACCTAGTAGACAGAGGTCAGGGATACTGCCAAACATCCTACAAAGCACAGGAGAGCGCCCCCTCCCCCCGCCAAAGAATTATCCAGCCTAAAATATCAGTGGAACTGAGGCTGAGAAACTCGGCCTTAAGGGGCTAGGATACTTTCAAACTGGCTCAGGTTTTTAAAGATGCATATTCATGACATAATTATTGGGAGTTATATATATGTATGCTATTAATGATACTAAATGGAAAATTAGAAAAATAACAAATTAAATCCAAAGCAAGCAGAAAAATATAAATAATAAGAATCAGAGCAGAAATCAATGAAATTGAAAACAGAAAGTCAATAGAGAAAATCAATGAAACCAAAAACTGGTTCTTTGAAAAGATCCATAATATCAGTAAGCCTCTAGCCAAACTACTAAGAAAAACAGAGAGAGCGCACAAGTTATTAATACCAGAAATAAAAGAGGGGACATCAGAACAGATCCCATGGACATTAAAAGGATAATAAAGGAATACTATGGACAGCTCTATGCCACAAATTAGATAACCCAGATGAAATGGACCAATTTCTTGAAAGACACAATTTTCCAGTATTCACATAAGAGAAAACAATCTAAATAGGCCTATATATCTGCTAAAGAAATTCAATCAATAAGTAACAACTCTACAAAGCAGAAATCATCAGGCCCTATAAGAGAAAACAGACAATCTAAATAGGCCTATATATCTGCTAGAGAAATTCAATCGATAAGTAACAACTCTACAAAGCAGAAATCATCAGGCCCAGATGGGTCACCTGGTGAATTCAACAAAAACATTTAAGGAATGTGGTTTTCTTTTCTTACAATATCTGTCTGGGTTTGGTGTTTGGGTAATGCTAGCCACATAGAATGAGTTAAGAAGCATGACCTCTGCTTCTATCCTCTGAAAGAGATTATAGAGAACCAGCCTGATGGGTAGAATTCAACAGGGAACCCATCCGGGCCTGATGAGCTCTGTTTCTGAAGGTGATTAATTACTGGGAAAACCAGGAAGAGGAGAATGGAACAAAAAGAAATATTTGAAGCAATAATGACTGAGCACTTCCCCAAATTAATGCCAGTCACCAAACCACAGATCCAGGAAGCTTAGAGAACACCAAGAAGAATAACCACCACATCATACTCACTCACACTGTGGAACATCAAAGATAAAGAAAAAATCATGAAAGAAGCCAGAGGAATGAAATGCCTCACCTATAGAGGAGTGCAGATAAGAATTACACTGTACTTCTCAGAAACCATGCAAGCAAGAAGCAAGAAACCTGACCTCTCCACACCTCCATTAGCTCGCCTGTAAAACAAGTCTTGCAATTCCTCTCTCTTCTGTCGCATACTAAGTGCTCAATGGGCGTCACAAACATTTGAAAGCATCTGTTAGGGGTCAGGGAGTGCATGTAATGGCATAGGAGGAAATATATTTACCTCCCATTAATCTTAAATATACGACTCCGCCTACATACACATCAGGAATTAAACAGATTTGTGGGTATCCTGGCCACTCAACCCCCATGAATCATGTATCTTGTTGGAGGAAATGCGTTCAGAATTTCCCCAGAAATTAACTGTTCAACTATACCCCTACTGGTCTAGTGCTTTCTTCATGCTCTGGGAAGGTTTAGAGAAGAGGTGGAAAGAAGAGCAGCCACTAATGTCCCTGGTCCCATGCCATGCACGTGGCCTATGTTATCTCATTAGTCTCCAAACAACCCGATGCGGTAGATATTCTCATCTCCATTTCACACACAAGGGTGATAGGACTCAGGGAGGTTCAGTCATTCACTGATGACCACCAAATTACTAAGGATTAAAGATGGGCTTGCACACCAATCTGCCTCATGGAAAACTTGGCTCCGAAGGAAAGGCAGCAGGGCCTCCTGGCCTGCACTCTGTGGGTCAGGAGAGGGCCCATGTGACAATGTCTCTGAATGAGACCAACTGGCCCTTGGTCTTGATCCAGGATGGGAAGTAAATGTTTCTGCTGATCTCTTAAACTGAAAATGACCCGTGGATCCCAAGAAATTGTGTACTGTTGCTTGTGCCCTTCTCTTAAAGAAGAGGACAGGAGGCCCCCGGACTGTGAATGTGGACATGCTTTATTCTGATTAATGATCTGCAGCCCCGGTTGAGGTGTGGGGGTGGGGACGAGCACCCCGAGCTGCACACAAGCTGCCCCCGCCTCTGGGGTGACACTTGGATCAGTTGGAGGCACTCAAAATGAGGGACAGACGTCTTTTCATACTTCGGTAGAAAGAGGGGCGATCTCGTGTCACTCCCTGACACACGAAACTGAAAAGGCTCCTGAAGGTGGAAGGCAGGTCTCGCTCAGTCTCTCTGGTTTTGTTTTCCTTTACCTCTGTCACTCTTTGGTCTGAATGGGTCGTATGAGCTTCCTGAAAAACCAGAAAGTTCTTCAAGCATCCAGAATGACTGGAACAAAAACAAATTGCATAAGGACAATTTGGTATTTCTTCTTTCTTGGGCTAGTCACAGCTGTCTTTGATTGTTGATTTGATTGTCTGGCAAACTACACTGTCTAATGACTGTGAAGCCAGCATAACTGATGGTAAGGTCAGTGCAGGTATACATTGCAAATTCTGTTTTCTCCACTACACCCCCGGCATCTAGCACAGTTCATTTACTCATGCCTTCACTGTGTATTCATGGGGCGACTCTCATCTGCATGTCACTGTGGTAGGTGTTGGAGGTACAAAGAAAAATAGGACGTGGTCTCAGCCCTACAAAGTCTATAGGCTAGTACAGCGGTTCTCAACCTGTGGGTCGTGACCCCTTTGGCGGGCGAACGACCCTTTCACAGGGGTCGCCTAAGACCATCCTGCATATCAGATATTTACATTATGATTCATAACAGTAGCAACATTGAAGTTATGAAGTAGCAACGAAAATAATTTTATGGTTGGGTCACAACATGAGGAACTATATTTAAAGGGCCAGAAGGTTGAGAACCACTGGTCTAGTAGGTGATGCACATGCACAAACGGGTGTCTCCAAAGAGGGGAAAAATACGTTGTAGAGACAAAGAGGAGATGATGAGAGGAGAGAGGAGACAACTAGGAGGTGTCACCGCTGTGATGTCCCTTCTCACCAGGCGGAGAAGAAAGGGCAGGGCATTCGGAGGATGGAATGCATGAGTGGGCGAGATAAAAGATGAATCTGGAAACCTAGACTGGACCACATTGTCAATGGTCTTATATATGCCACTAAGGAGTTGAGGCTTTTGCAAACAGGCCAAGAAAGGCCAGTAAGGAAACCAGACCTCAGCACTATAACTGTAAAGGCCAAATTCTGCCAATAACCTGAATGAGTAAGGAAAGGGAACCACCCCTAGAGCCCCCTAAAAGGAATGTAGTCCTGCCAATGACCTTGACATTATCCCCATGCATCCCAGGTTAGACTTCTGACCTGCAGAACTATAAGATAGTCCATTTGTGTTGTTTTAAGCCACTAAGATTTGGGCAATTGTTTGTGGCAGCAACAGAAAACGAATATAGGGCCCAGAGTAGGCCAGCTTCCTTGCCTCTGTCCATGGCCTGTTCTGTAGATGCCTGTGGCTCCTATGGGTCTATTATTGGGATTCTCTTCTTCCCCTCCCATATTTTCCTAAGGTAGACTTAGGACCTAAATATAATTTCAAGGGGGAAGAAAAAGCTTAAAGCAAAGGTTGCAAGTTTTGTTGAACCTGCTTAATATTACAAAATTTTAAACTTTCTCGTTCTTTCTTTTCCCCTTTTCATTCTCCCCCTCCATCCTTTCCTCCTCCCCCCTTTCTTTTCTTTTCCTTCCTTCTTTCACCTCCCTCCCTACCTTCCTCCGCCCCTTCTTCCCTTTCTCCCTTCCTCCCTTCCTTTTTCTTTCTAAGTAAGCAGCTCTGGCAACTGTGGCTTGGCTGGCTGGCTGGAGCTGTCACTGTCCCCTCTGAGATAGGTTCTCCAGTTTGCCAGTCTCTACCACTCTGTTCTCTCTCACGGGTTGCTTTTCTCATGTGTATTACCCGTCCGCATTTTAGAGGTGACTGGTTCTGTGATCTAGCCTAAATCTGGTGTTAGAACATACTAGACCTGGGATCGCTGAGGGGAGATGGTGTAAGAAACCAAAGGAAGCAATCAGCCGGGCTCCAAGAGCAGAATGTCTTTCTATTCAGGGTGGTCCTGCTAAGTGTCGTGAGGCCTCCAGTCCTGTCCGCCTCTGGTCTTCCTGACCTGTCACCATCAATCACAGCCTCACCCACACGCTCTTACAGTCTCTCCCTGTGAGCCCTGTGTCAACACTGCAACATCTTTCATCCTTGGGAAAAGTCTAGGAGCTAAAGGACATCAGCCTGGCAGGAAATGTTGGCTGGAAGCCCAAACGGATTCCCCAATTAACGTTCTAGTCTCTCCTTGTCTTGCAACCCAGGGAGTCAACACGCCAACCTCTCTTTGGCCTCTGGTGGTAAGCCCTTCACAGCATGCTATCGTCTTCCTCCTGATTGTCTTCAAACAGCAGAACATGGGCCTCGTCACTCTAAACTATGATCATAAGTTAGGCCGTTAGGCCAACATTTACCCAAAGAGTCTCTTTACCTATCAATTGGCAAATGAACAGACCTCCAGGGAAGAACGATCCCTTTTGTGCATGGGAAGTTGCATCCATGGTGAGCACGGAGTGAGAAGCAGCAGTGGGTGCTCTAGTCCAGACTCTGCATTCACTGCCTCGTGATGTTGGGAGAAAGTCACTTACCTCCTGTGTGGGCCGGTTTCTCCAGCTGTTTAAAAATGAATGGTTTCTGACATGGTTACCCACAGGGTTCTGAGGATTTGCTGAGACAGTGGACGGGAGTCACTGTCCAAATGGGAGATCCTAGCATTCAAAGACCCCCATCTGTCTAATAAAACAGCACCTTGCTTCCTGGGGTGCTTCGTGCCATCTCCACACACTTGTCTCAGGATTCTTAAGCAACCTGGAGTCAGGGATTCTCCAGGCCATGCGGCTGCAGAGCGAGACTAAAACCCCGGTCTCCTGACCCCAAGAGTAGGCTGTTCCGTCACACGTCCGTGGGGGAAAGACCGTCTCTGCCAGGCCCCCCAGGATCAGAGGAGGCAGAGGTGCTTCTGCTCACGTGCTCTGCCCATATCTTACCCACTGACGTCACCCCACGGATCTTTCCAGGGCAGAGGGTGCCCGGGCATTTCTTTTCTGACCAGAAAAGGTTCTGTCAGTGTCAGGAAGCTTCTGAGAGATGATGCGTCTCTGTTGGGGGGCCCGACTAGATTATTTCTTCTCCTTTTTGATGCCAGATGGTTTTTTTCTGAAGGAAGAGAGAAGAATGGCTGGTTAGCGCAATGGCGATAAGGTGTTAGCACTCTCTGCTATGGCAACAGCCTAAACCAAAACCCTTTGCCTTCAGGAGAGGGCCCATCCCGTTCTTATTCTCCCCATCCTCCCCAAGGGCTTGTAACCTCTGAAGACAGGCAATGCCTTTCTGAGCAAAGAGCTCCCAAGTACCTGGCTTGTCTTCCAGGCACCAGCACTGGCCAATGATACCTGGGGAGCTCCAAGCCCCATTGGCCTTGCAGCAGGTCTGAGAAGGTGGAATGGCTGGTGAGGAGGCAAGGCCCGCCCGCCATTCAGAGAGCCTGCTGTCTGTAACCTTGACTTTCAAGCAGTTCTTTGGCACTGGTTTCTATGACCCCCTGGGGATTCTCTCAGAGCCTTATTTTAATATCAGCCCCACGTTGATGCTCTTACAGAATCGAGGATGAATCAGATTGTGACAGGCTCAAATCCTTTCTGCTCCTATCGCCAATCTCCTGCCAAGCAGAACAGCTCCTCTTTCTTTCCCATCTTAGGTCCTTATCCCGGAGCACTGGTATATTGGGGAAGCTAATAAAAGACCACTTGGGTTGCTCTTCCTCCAGCAATGGTGTTCTACTGGAAGCTGGGTCAAGGCTTCAACTTCCTCGAGGGCCTGTCCTAATGGAGGTGGGTGAGGACACCCCAGGCCTCTCTGGAAGCAGCAAGCTCAACTTCTTGGTTCTATATGCCAAGGAGTGTCAGGAGGTGGAGCTAGGTCTCTGGGAAGTTTCTCCCCCGTTTCCCATGGTGCACTTGGACAGAGAAGCTCAGCACCGAAGAAGAGGACTTCCAGCTGGTGCCTACCCTAAGACAGGAAACAGCTGCATGGAGGAGACGGTATGTCCTGTCTGGGTCAGGTTGCTCGTCGATGAAGCTAAAGACAAATGCAGAGAAAAACTGCATCAGAACTCAGGGCACAGGCCCTCCCTGGAGGCCAGCCAGCCAGGGAGGCATCCCAGGACCAGAGAAGGAGTTGGGGAAGTGATGAAGCAGCAACGCTCCAGGGACAGTCAGGAGACCTGGGTTGGGTGCTACAGTATTATTATTTTTTTGTCCTAGGAGACATTTCATCTGGGTGCACAGATCATGAGCTCAACCTCACTGACACGGGGAAGTAAAATAAGGAGCTGAGGCCAGATAAGCTCTAGAAACACCAAACTTTAGGGCAGTTTGGGCCCTATGGCTCCTGGGCAGTGTTCCATAATCACTTCCCCACTAAGCAATGAGGGGACATTTCCGAGAAGCACAATCTCCAACATGGAAAGAGAAGCTGCCGATGGGCAGAAAGGAAAGGTTTGTTGGGAAAGACCATGTGGGAACCAAGGCAGTTTTTGTGGGATTGACTCTGAACGGCTGGAGATGGGAAAGGGAAAGGATATGACATGGACCCAAGATGGGAGTCTAGGACCCGAGTGCCCATTACAGAGATAAGGGGATCAGTAGCAGAAGCCTCCAGGAAGCAGGCGGTATGGACTGAAGTTCCATTGAAGCAGCAGGTGCTCTCAGGGAGGGGAAAGTAGCAAGTGGGACATCATCATTGTTTCTTAATGAAGATGACACAGCATGCCTGGAAATGGGCAGAGGAGCCAGCAGAAATATCGAGAAGCTTCAGCTACTGCCTTTAAAGGGCTATAAAAGATATGATTATTCTAATGAGAGCTGGCACGGGGCCCTGGAAGGATAGTCAGGAGACCCGCTTCTCACTCCATCCCTGCCACTCACAAGCTGTGTGAACCTGAGCAAGTCATTTCATAATTTGGGGACCTCAGTCTCCTCCTGGCCAATAAGGAGATGGGCCAAGCTGGCCTTAGGGTCACCCTCTCATTGAGTGGGCTTTTGATATCCATGGGGTTCCAACTCCAACTCACAATTCTGGACTGAACTTGCTATTGCATCTCGCTGCTGAGGCCGCAACCACTCGATACCTCTGAGCAAGGAGAATCTTAAGATGGCGTGTTCTCCTGGGGAGGCAAGAGGGGGAGCATTAAAAGCCTTTATAGCAATACCCAACAAAAGAAACCATTCCAAGTAAGCAAGAAAGCTCCTGTTTAACACTCCTGGGATTACAGGATGCTAGCGATAGAACATTTTCTAAGTCCAAACGTCTGTATCTTAGATCAGGGGTCCGAGGCCTCAAGAGGGGAAGTGAGAGTCTCAAAATGCCTCAGCTCATACAGGATGAGTTTCCGGGCCTAGAACCCAAGTGGCCTGACCCCTTAATGCAGGGCGTCCTGCCGACCCTCTTCCGACTTCTGACATCAGAAAAGATGTAGGGATTTACTTCTGTGGAGCGCATTTCCTATGTCCTCGGAGTGAGCATCATTTGCCCACCCTGCCTGCCCACCTCCCTCTCCTTTTCCTTTTGCTGTCGCCTCCTCTCTCCCTACCCCCACTCTCATCCTATATAAGCCCTTGCACCTGCAAGAACATGTCGCCCACACACTGAAAAGATAGCCGATTGCTGTCTGCGGATGTGGCATTCCACAGGGCAGAGACCAGGAGGAGGCACCGGGCTCCTGGACCACAGGGTGGCTGCAGCCAGGGAGGTAGGTAATTTGTTTCCTCCTGAGGTGAGGGCACCTCTCCAGGGGTCCGTGGGGCAGGACCAGGGCTCTGTAGCCAGAGTTGTTCCCCAGAGATGGATTTAAGTCTCCAGGGCCCCAAAGAAAGGGGTGGCACATTTGTGTGTGGGCTCTGGGGTCGGGGCAGGAGTGAGCATCTGGGGAAAGGAACACGAGCATCGGCAGGTAGGAGCTGAAACAGCGGGCCCAGCTCCATCCTGGGAGGGCCGGCTGCTGTTTTTAAAACTCCTGTCCTATCCCCACATGTTGTTCTGCAGCTGGTACTGTCCCCAGGTGCACAGAACTTTGGTTCCCAGAACTTTCCACCCAACCCTGCCTGCCCTCTCCAGGCACTGCCCTGTGCACCCTCCTCCCTCTCTCTAAAATTCCCCTTCGCTCAAGTACTGATCTCAGCGCACGTATTGGGAAAGGGACTGAGCTAAACTGCTCTGTGTAAAGAAAACATGTATATGTGTGTCTTCAAACACATTCACCTATAAATATATGAATAACATAACATAAATACTATATGAATATATGATTAACAATATAGCAATAATATGTAAATCTCTCAAAATCACATCACCCAGAGATACTCTTATTAACACACTATTTCTAAGTTGTTCCCCAAGTTTTCATAAAAATCATACATATGCATAAAGATCTATATGCATATATATATACTCACCACAATAAAATCATACTCTACATCCACATCTCCATTTTCTCACTTAACACTATAACCGTTTATGGAGCTCCATGTCCCCACCACGGAGGCTGTGAACCACGTGCCCAGAGGCACCCTGGGAGGTAATGCCGGGGAGCCGCCCATGGGGTGGGTTGGGGACCTTTCTGCCAGCACTGATCGCCACAGATAATATATACTTGAATGCTTCTCTGTGGGCCCAGTAATGAGATGCCCATCCCACCAGCAAACACCCTCTGTGAGGTCTCACCATTGGTCCTCCCAGCCCTCGCCTTCCCTTCATGATTCCTGTTTGCTAGCGAATGGGGCTGTGGGTCCTGGCGGGGCTTACCTCCACTCCAAATAGAGTACTTGGCCACAGACTTAGAAGGCGTTTTTGAGTCCCTGCTCTTCCTCTCCTTCTTCTGGAAGTAAGAGCGGGTTACCTTCCAGGAACAAAACCTGTGAGAAGAATGGCTTCTGGTCACAGGGAGAAAACCTCCCAGGGGACTGTGACACTGAGCACAGGGGACCCGGCCAGAGCCAGTCTTCATGGAAAAAAACCGTGTGCTACCGGCTCAGCGCGGGGCCAGGACAGGCAGGATGCTGGGACTTCCTTCTGGAACCTCCAGTGAATGGAGTCTATAAAGGACTTGCTGTTCCCCACCCTGGTGTACCCCACCCTGGTGTGCTCCCCTGAACATCAGACTCTCAGATCCCATCTAACTCCACCTGGTGCAGCCAGAGCATCTGGCTGGCCTCCCTCAGGTCCCGATGAACGACCCCTAGTTGGCATCCTGTCCCTTACTGAGGACCTGGACCCCCTCACCTCATTCCCACAGTCCTGCCCTGGAGGAAAGCCTGGCTCCTCTCAGGAGCTCAGACTCGCACACGCACTACAACCTGAGAACGGCCGCTCCCTGGAAGCCCTCACAACGCTCCCCAGCTCTCCCCCCTTGGCCCTGAGCCCTGGCTCTCCCCAGCCTGTCCGGAGAGTGGAGCCCTTGGAGGTGTCTTGGCTTTCTTTTCTATCCTGCTTTGGCTCTGGTGGTCTTGACTGCTGCCCTCCTTCCTCCTCCCCAAGGCACATTCCACCCAATCACAGTGGGTTTCTCCCATTCCACTTGCTAAACTGGGTCTCCCTCCAGTCATGGACCTCCCAATACGCCAAGGATGCATTCTTTTAAAAAAATATTATTTTCTTGATTTCTCAGAGGAAGGAAGAGGGAGAGAGAGATAAACATCGATGATGAGAGAGAATGCTTGATTGGCTGCTTCCTGCACGCCCCATGCTGAGGTTTGAGCCCGCAACTGGGTATGTGCCCTGACCAGAATTGAACCGTGACCTCCTGGTTCATAGGTCAACCCTCAACCAACTGAGCCCCAGTGGCTGGGCCAAGGATGCATTCTTTATGGTGCTTGAGAGACCAAGATTCCTGGTTTTTAACCCACTTACCAAGTGGTACCACTTACCAAGGCCCTGAACCACTCTGAACCTCAGTTCCCTCATCTATAAAATAGAGACAATAATACTTTGCATCATCCAGCTCACGGGGTTGTGAGAGGTTCACCTGAGATAACAGATGTGGACACAGTTGTATGATATAAAAATCTTCATAAATATATAGGAAAGCGGGTAAAGAACCAGCTGCCCGAGGATCAGGACTCGAGCCTCCCCGAGGCACCCCTGTACTTCCTTAACGGGATGCGGAAACGCTGAGTCTGACTCCAGACGGAGCGGAGCAGCGAACATCCCCCAGGAAGCTTCGGGACCCATTTGCATTTAGTCCTGGTTAGCAGGCGGAGAATCAAGTCTAGGCGTGAGTGCTAGATAACAATTGGTGCTCAGAAGGCTCAACTGGTTATCTTGACCTTAGATTTTTAAAAAAATTTATTACAATCTTATATTGCATAATTGATCTTAGGAATTTAAAATGGAAGGTTGGTGGTTGGTAAGCAACCTTAACACTTCTATTTTAAGAAAGTAACTTGTGTGTGAGGGGGGGTGGGGGGGAGAGGGAAACCCCTAAGAGCTGGCATCACAATAATAATCTAAATATCCCAACTAGCCTGGTCTGGGGCCACTTCAGCCAGTTGTCCTGTGGTCTCTATCAGCCAGGGCGCTGCCATTCACAACGGGGGAGGTGCGCGCTGGGGCCACGGTGGACCACAGGCCGGGTGAGTAACCAGCTGGGAGAACTTAGGTGACAGGTTAGGAACCAGGGGGCCCTGGTCACATTTGTTCTGCGGATTTTGTCTTTCTTCCAGTTTCATTTCTGGCCTTCCCAGCTTCCTCCCCAGGTTTTAGGTTTGAGTTGGTAGCCACCTTTCCTACTTTAACCTGGGGAGATAGGACCTAAGAACTTGAATTTCTAGCTTCTCTAGAAAATGGAAATATCTAGCAACTGAGCCCCTACTGGTAATTATGGGATGTGGGCATAGCAGAGGCAAACTCTCCTGGCTCACTGCCCCCAGGTGGCTCCCTGATCATGGGGACAGCGTGTCAGCCTTGACAGACTGCTCCCAAGTAGCTGTGGTCCATGTCACCCTTAGGTGAGGAACCCACGCCGAACACAACCTAAGAGCCTGCTATTCCTTTCTACTCCCCATTCAACCCAGGGAGTGCTGGGAGCCAGGCGTTCCGGTCCCCAGTCTTACTTGGCCTCCCGTCCTCTGACTCAGTGCTCAGTGTGAGCGTGTGAGGGACGAAGTGTAGTGAGCAGGAGGGGAACACACCATCTCAGTTCCCATGAATCTGGAAACTGGAGCAGAGAGCTATGGGAAGACAGGAGACGCTCTAGCACAGTGGTTCTCAACCTTCCTAATGCCGCGACCCTTTAATATAGTTCCTCATGTTGTGGTGACCCCCAATTTCATTGTTACAAATTGAACATAATTAAAGCATAGTGATTCATCACAAAAACAATATGTAATTATATATGTGTTTTCTGATGGTCTTAGGCGACCCCTGTGAAAGGGTCGTTCGACCCACAAAGGGGTCGCGACCCACAGGTTGAGAACCGCTGCACTAGCAAGTCAAGTGTTTCCCTGACCTGGGGAGGGGAGGGGTGACAGTTTTACCTTTTCCAGAAGTACATAATGACGGGGAAGAGAGATATGATGGCCCCGTGGAAGATGCTCCGATCCAGGCGGCCCTCAGCAATGGCAGAGATGATGGCATCCCTCTGGGACTCAGTGATGTTCACCTACCCGCAGAGTGGGAGCCCGTCACTGGCAGAAAACCGCTCTTGGGCCCCACAACCTTGAAGATGCCCCCTCCCCAGAGGGCAGAAGCTTTTCCGGGGGCTGCTAGGTCAAGGATATCCAGCCGACCCAGGACTCAGCTTTCAGGGTTTTTGTGGGAAAATGCTCCTTGGGACAAGGCCAGAGAGGAGTGCAAGTCCCCCTTACCCTCAGCCTCGGAGGGACCTCGGACTGCAGGTAGAGCTTTAGGATGATGTTAATCTTGGACTTCATTAGGATCACGTCATTCTCGTTATAGGCCCAGCTGACTTGAAGCACATGAGCTGAACTCACCAAATCGTTAAATCTAAAGAGAGGCAGTAAGTAGGAAATCAGCAAAGAGGGAAGCAGTGGCGACTTAGGGCAGCCAGCCCACACCTATTTTTGGTCTAAAAGAGAGGGGGCCAAATCCTGGCCAGGTTGTGACTTCATTCATTCAGTCGTAAGCCATCTATCGGCAAACACGAATTGAGTGCCTTCCACGTGTCAGATGACATGCTAAGTCCTTCCTCAAGTGCATTTCTTCATCACTAACTCCTTTATTAATCCCATCCTCCCGTCCTCACCCATCAGGCCCTCTGACTGCTTCGAGGGCTAAGTGCTGTCTTGCTCTTTCTTTCCCCTCCTGTGCTGACCCTCTCACAATTACCACCAGTCTCTGAAGCAACATATTCCTTTTATTAATTTTTTTTTTACTATTGTAAGATATACATAACATAAAATGTACCAGTTTAACTGTTTTTGCAGTGGCATGAAGTACGTCCACATGGTTGTGTGATCCTCACCGCCATCATCTCCAGAACTTTCTCATCTTCCCAAACTTAAACTCCATGCCCATTAAACATTGTCCCATTCGCCACCTCCCCCAGCCCCTGGCAGCCACCACTCTACTTTCTGTCTCCTAGCAACATATGCTTTCAGTGACCCTCAAATATTTGTCAGTTACACCTTATGTTGATGTAAGTACACAGCTGACTTCTCCCAGGCCATTTAAAATTGTAACAATTTAAAGTCTTCCTAATAGTAGAACACCAGGTTTTCCCATATCCATTCCATTCATGTATTCAGTCAAGGAGTATTTTAATTCAGGGTTTATGCTCTGCCACACACAGTTCCAGGAGCAGGGACTCAGCAGGGACTTATCAGGGAATAAAATAAACAAAGGCCGGCTTTCCAGGAGCTCACAGTCAATGAGGGAAGAAGATGCACAGGTAAACAGGTGATTAATTAAATATCCAGTAGAGGCTATGAAGACAGAAAAGGGGCATGATGTAATTGGGAAGGGAGCAGGCACTGAGACGGAACAATGAGAAAAAGACAGTCATGTGAAGCCAGCTTGGTGGGCAGGGAGGGGCAGAGGTGGGGCAGAGCCTCTGAGCTGGAGCCTGGGGCAAGTGGTTGGTGAGGGGCAGGAGATGAGCTCTGAGATGCAAGCGGGTATATTCTGCTTGCATAGAGCCATTTAGGCCATGGGAGGAGGTTTGGACTTGATTCCCGTGGAAATGGGAAGCCACTGGGTCATTTTGGGCAGGAGAGTGCTCTAATCTGGTTGACGGTTGTTCACAGGCTCTCTGATTGCTATGTAGCCAACAAGTGAGAAAGCAGAGCGGGAATTGGAGAGGCAGTGGGAGGCTGTTCACCCTGACTGGTATTCCTTTCTGTGCCCCACTCACCTCTCCCTTACACAGATTTTTTTAAAAAAATTCTCACTAACCCCCTCCTCATTCTTCAAACTTCAGGTTAGGTGACTTGTCTGCCATGAAACCACACCTGAGGGCTCAGTTGTCTAAATGCACTTCCTGACTCTACCACAGCATCACACTTCCTAACTTTGTGTCCTTCCGGCCATCCCTATCTTTGTGGGCATGTCTTATTTGTACTTTTTGGATTTCCAATGCCAAATCCAGAGCCAAGAATAATCAAGCAATCTATAAGTGTTCGTGGAACTGAGCCTGGTCCCTCACCGAAGTGCAGTGGAAAAGCTCTTAACCCTAATTGATGCGCGGCGTTACCAGCGCTCCACACTTCCGAAAAACACAGCGGCAAGTTGACTCCATACGCTGCTGGTACCTTCCTTGTACAAGCTCACACTGTCCCCACTAGCTAAGACAGGCATTTACTGAAAGTTCTTTGTACTTCTTCCCAAATATTTTTGCCTGTTGTACTTGTTACTATAATTCATAATTTATGAAAATTAAGAAAATAGAAATGTGAAAATAAAGGTATTTGTTGTTTCTGTGAAAACAGATTGGAATGCTTTGGAATATTCCAATAAAGGTCGAGTTGCTTTTTAAAAAATTGCTATGGAGTTAGGTATAGCAAGGGGATTACAAACATTTAAAAGATAAGTATAAAAATCTGGAAGGCTTAAGTTGCTTTGCAGTAACCTTTAAGTTCTTGCTCCACTTTATTTATTTTTTTTAAATATATTTTATTGATTTTTTACAGAGAGGAAGGGAGAGGAGTAGAGAGTCAGAAACATCGATGAGAGAGAAACATCAATCAGCTGCCTT